CTATCCCCTTCTTGGTAAGTGGAACAAATGTTTGTTTTTCCATAAATTTGTCTAATTTTCCAAAAAAAAAGAAAAAAAATCCTCTTAACAAAGGGGAGTGGGTGACGTGGAACAGTAATAAAGCTAATATCTTAAGGGTAAATTAGGAAACACGAGCAATGGAGTAGCACGAAGGGTTTCCTCCGGTGGCCTCGAGCGCACTACAATTTAACCTAAAACGCACATTACAAACCGTCATATTTTTGCCTCTTCCTCAACTCCACGGCGCAGATCCGAGGAGTTTGGGAAACCCTAATTTTCTCTTTCTCTCTCTCTGAAGCTAACAGCCTCCACAAAAAAAGCTTTCTCTTTTTTCTCTCCACACCCAGAAAAACAATCTCTTTTTCTCCGGCTTCATCCTTTGCTCTCAGGTTGCTCTCTCGCTATTTTCTCTCTAGATTAGTTCTAATTTTCTCGTATCTGTATCTGTCTGTGTTTGCTTTAAGGTTGTTTGATTTGATTGGATATGATGTTGTTCTGTTCTTTTTCTTCTGTTTGGGATCCGGGTTTGATCTGTTGAGTTTTTATGGTTCTGGGTTTTTGATTTTGATGTTTTTGAGGTCGTTTTAAGGAATTTTCTGATTGCTTTTTGGTTGGTTCTTGGCGTTTGAGATTTGAGAAGTTGAAAAGCTTGAAACTTCACTGAAGTCAGCTTGTTTTCACCGTATGGGGAACGATTGCTCTGATTCCACTTTTTAATTGAACGGTTTTTTTATTTTATTTTATTCTCTTTATCAATTGTTTTGATTGATGGTGAAATTAAGAAGCAGATCTTAGCATTCAAAATTTGAAATTTATATTTATGGGCTAAAACTCTTTAGTTTGGTATGTGGGGTTACGTTCTGTATGGAGGTAACTGCTTCTTGGTATAGCGAAGGTTCTGATGATGACGAAATCTTGCTATTGGATGATTGTTGAAGCTTTATGTCATGTTATATATACTGTAATGTTCTGCTGCTCTGTTCGTTGTAACTTAGATGTGGTTATATTTGTAAAGGGTAGTTTACGTGTCTACTGTCAGCAATCTGTAAACTTATATGTGCTTTGTTTGTTCTTGGTTGGGAGTCCTGCTATGCTGTCAGCAATTTGGTTGCCTACTTTTACCGTGCTTATCTGTTGGGTTAATGGAATTATTCATTCATAAAATGTTTTGTATTTATCTAGTGCCTTGGACGTAATTCTTAGATGGGGATTTGATGATTTGTATAAATTTAGGTGAATTATATTTATAATAGTGGTTCTTGCTTATCTTTTATGGATATTTTGTTGTTTATCTGTAGTCCTTCTTATGCTTCAAAATGAATGGTAGAAGCAAGTTTTGGTATTTCTCTCTTGCTTAGAATGCAAAGAATGTATATGGGAAAAATATTAGTCTTGACCTGTCTGCTAGTATTCTCAATGAGGTACTCTTGCCCTATAAGAGGGGCTTTTGCACCCTGTCTCCCTTGTTTGTAACACTTGGAGAAATGTTGACGTTGCCTAATGCATTAGGTTGGTTTGTTGGTTCTTTAGTGCTGTGGTCAAGGTGAAATTTGGAGGGGTGGGCAAAGTGGTGTCTGATGGTAAAGGATTTACCCTAAATATGGGATTGCCATCTGCCCCATGGCATCTTCTCCTCATATTAAATCAGAAGTTAATGCTTGTGCTCCTGAGTTTCTGGTTTGCAAGTTTGGCTATTCTGTTACATTTTATTTTGATTTGACAGTACTTGTCCTCCTTCCTGAGGCAAGTTGGATTTTCATTCATCCCTGTGAAAGTTATTTGCTGCTTTAAATGTTTCCTTCATGTGTTTTTCGAAATTAAGTTAGCTATCATTTCATCATTATCTTGTTATCTATGTAAAACAATTTTGCTTAAGTTTGATTAAAGCTAAAATTTTTCCTTTTGCTGCAGTCATGGCAGGTTTGGCACCCGAAGGATCCCAGTTTGATGGTCGCCAGTTTGATCAAAAGATGAATGAGTTGTAAGTACATTTGCTTGTTTATTTCTCTTTTAAAAATGTTCTTTGCCCCCTAAAAAGATATCAATGCTTACTATGTCTTGATTAATCAATTTTGTGTAGACTCTCAACTGATGGAGATGATTTTTTCACAAGCTATGATGAAGTTTATGATAGTTTTGATGCTATGGGACTGCAGGAGAATCTTCTTAGGGGCATCTATGCATATGGTAGGTGGAGTACTCTTTCTAGGAACAGAAGTCTATGTTCTATTTTTTCCATATTCATACAACTGCCGTTGAAATGGTTTTCCCTGTCAATTGATGTTAACAAGCTTGCTTGAGAATTGTTTTAGAGCCTTCCTGTTTGGTGTATTGCCCTCAGTTCTCATTCTGGAATTTCCCTTTGTGTTCTGAAACATTGGAACGTGCTTATTTGAGTGTTGTAATGCTGGAAACTATAGGTCTTTCAATGTGTCATTCATCTTAATCTTCTTTCTATATGTTATGATGGTGAATATCTTGCTCAAATATTTTTCTAGGTTTTGAGAAGCCTTCTGCTATTCAGCAAAGGGGAATTGTTCCTTTCTGCAAAGGTCTTGATGTAATTCAGCAAGCTCAGTCTGGAACTGGGAAAACAGCAACTTTCTGCTCTGGCATTTTGCAGCAACTTGATTATGGTGTTGTCCAGTGCCAGGCTTTAGTTTTGGCACCCACTAGGGAACTGGCACAACAGATTGAGAAGGTGATGCGAGCACTTGGTGACTATCTTGGTGTCAAGGTCCATGCTTGTGTGGGTGGCACCAGTGTTCGTGAGGATCAGCGCATTCTTCAAAGTGGTGTCCATGTTGTTGTTGGCACTCCTGGACGTGTCTTTGACATGTTGAGGAGGCAGTCTCTGCGCCCAGATTACATTAAGATGTTTGTATTGGATGAGGCTGATGAAATGCTTTCTCGTGGTTTTAAGGATCAGGTTTGTTTGTTTTACCTGGATCTCATTTCCCCTTGAGTTTTAAGAGATTTTATTATTTTGTTGTTTACAATTCTAACAATGGTATTTTGCCTTTCAGATATATGATATTTTCCAGCTCCTTCCAGCCAAGATTCAGATTGGAGTGTTTTCTGCCACCATGCCTCCTGAAGCCCTTGAGATCACAAGGAAGTTCATGAATAAGCCTGTAAGAATCTTGGTGAAGCGTGATGAGTTGACCCTGGAGGGTATCAAGCAATTTTATGTGAATGTTGAAAAGGAAGAATGGAAGCTTGAGACACTCTGTGATCTCTATGAGACCTTAGCCATTACCCAGAGTGTCATCTTTGTGAACACTAGGCGCAAGGTTGACTGGCTGACCGACAAGATGAGAAGTCGTGACCACACAGTTTCTGCCACCCATGGAGACATGGACCAGAACACTCGTGATATCATCATGCGTGAATTCCGTTCTGGTTCCTCTCGAGTTCTCATTACCACTGATCTCCTGGCACGTGGTATTGATGTGCAGCAAGTCTCCCTTGTCATAAACTATGATTTGCCGACTCAACCAGAAAACTACCTTCACCGTATTGGACGTAGTGGACGATTTGGAAGAAAAGGTGTGGCCATAAACTTTGTGACAAAGGACGACGAGAGAATGCTGTTTGACATCCAGAAATTCTACAATGTGGTCATTGAGGAGCTTCCATCAAATGTTGCCGATCTCCTCTGATGAGACTACCTTTTTTGAAGTTGGTTGAGGAAAGGAGTTTTCGTATTTAGCCAGTGTTCTATTTAACGTTTTGCCTTTGTTATTTTCTTTTTCATTTAGTGGCTTTTCTAAGTTAAATGTTGTCCTTAAAACATATCTGACCGTTTACTGATATGTGTTCTGCACATTTGCAACATAAAGATTGTCCAATATCCTATTCCTTTGTGTTGGTGGGTATATGTCATTGCAGTGTTTGATGCTCTAGGCTTCTGTCTTCGAATGATAAATGTTTTTTTTTTTTTTT